GTTCCAGCATGGTTCCAGTGTGGTTCTAACGTGGTTCCAGAGTGGTTCCAGTGTGGTTCCTGTGTGGTTCCAGTGTGGTTCCAGTGTGATTCCAGTGTGGTTCCAGTGTGGTTCCAGTGTGGTTCCTGTGTGGTTCCAAGGTGGTTCCAGCGTGGTTCCAGCATGGTTCCAATATGGTTCCAGCATGGTTCCAACGTGGTTCCAGCATGGTTCCAGCATGGTTCCAGCGTGGTTCAAGCGTGGTACCAATGTGGTTCCAACGTGCTTCAATGTGGTTCCAGCACCAGTGTGGTTTGAGCACCAGTGTGGTTCCAGCGTGGTTCCAATATGGTTCCAGCGTGGTTCCAGTGCAGTTCCAATGAGGTTCCAGTGTGGATTCAGCGTGGTTCCAGTGCAGTTCCAATGAGGTTCCAGTGTGGGTTCAGCGTGGTTCCAGCATGGTTCCAGTGCGGTTCCAATTAGGTTCCAGCGTGGGTATAGTGCGGTTCCAATATGGTTCCAGTGTGGTTCCAGCGTGCTTCCAGCGTGGTTCTTGTGTGGTTCCAGCATGGTTCCAATATGGTTCCAGCGTGGTTCCAGTGCAGTTCCAATGAGGTTCCAGTGTGGATTCAGCGTGGTTCCAGTACGGTTCCAATGAGGTTCCAGTGTGGATTCAGCGTGGTTCCAGTGCGGTTCCAATGAGGTTCCAGTGTGGATTCAGCGTGGTTCCAGTGCGGTTCCAGTGCGGTTCCAATTAGGTTCCAGTGTGGGTTCAGCGCGGTTCCAATATGGTTCCAGTGCGGTTCCAATTAGGTTCCAGTGTGGATTCAGCGTGGTTCCAGTGCAGTTCCAATGAGGTTCCAGTGTGGATTCAGCGTGGTTCCAGTGCAGTTCCAATGAGGTTCCAGTGTGGATTCAGCGTGGTTCCAGTGCGGTTCCAGTGCGGTTCCAATTAGGTTCCAGTGTGGGTTCAGCGCGGTTCCAATATGGTTCCAGTGCGGTTCCAATTAGGTTCCAGCGTGTTTTCAGCGCGGGTCGGTCCGCTGCCAACAAGACACGCGGCCAAGAGAGTTCCAGCTGCTGAAGTTTCGAAGGTTGGAGAACCAGCAGGAAATCAGATCAGAACTGAGCAGATAGAATCAAGGCAGGATAATCCAGAGGGTGAAGCCAAAGCCGGTGTAGAGGACATGTACGGGAGAACAGAGATCTGAAGGGAAATCCAGGATGGTTTCAGGAAACAGTTCTAGGTAAGGTACAGGCCGAATCCAGTGGGAGTCAGAAGGCAAGTCAGGCAAACAGAACAGAAGATGAACAGGCAGGCTCAGAGGTTGAGAGGCAGAATGGGTCAGGATCAGGCAATCAGAAACACGCAGGAACGCTAGAGAGCTCTCATCAAAGGCTTTAATAATCTGGCACTGAATACTGGTTAGAAGGCTCGTAATATAGAGACCGAAGCAGGTGATCAGGTGAAACGAGTAATCAGGCCAGCCATCAGCGCCGAGATCATGACCGCTTATTTCAGTGTGAAACAGGCTTAGGTCTCTGTTGGTTTGTTTTGGTCTCTGGTCCAAAGAACTGCCTGTTACTGTACACTGAGATATTGATAAACTGGTAAGACCCTTAACAACGACTTATTGGGAACCACTGGATTTACTGGGAAACAGAAACTTGTGTGTGTGTGTATATATATAATATTTTTAGCTGTTAAATGTCCTGTAATTCTTAAGTAATGAGACTCTTTTTAGTAACTTTAATGGAGTCAACAATAGAAACAATATGAAATAGGAATTAGTGTCTAAACTCATCCAATTTAAATTCAACATGTAGGGATATTATAGAGGAATAGGTTCTTCTTTTATATATTGTTATCAGATTGTTTTTTACTCTTATATATTTTCTATAGTTTGGTCTAAACTTTCATAGAAAGTTGTTGTTTTGAATGAAACTGAATGACTGAACTCCTACAGATGGGTAAAGAGCGCCACCTACTGGCCGTCTGTCTTTGTTGGATTTTAATCAGGTTTCAAGTCTGTCTTTAATTTAGAGGTGAGAACAGATTCAGTCTCAGTTCTGGTCTAGCTAAAAGGTCTGCATTGTTAATCCCAATAAATTACAGACTGATGAAGAAAAGCCTGAAATGTTGAATAAACTTTGAGTCTGAAGAAGTCTGGACTCGCTGCAGTTCTTTGGATTTATTTTCATCTCCGTAAGCAGCAGCAAGGACAGCTTTTCTTTTTTATTCTTCTTTTTTAACAGTTTTATACAAAATCTCACATCTAAAGCAGTGAGGTGGTGTTTCCAGTCCAGGTGAGGGTGTCTGTGATGAATGTGGTGCTGCTGACCACCTCTACAGCTGAGCTGTTGATGAGCAGTGGAGCGTGGTTAGGCCGCTTCTTCCTGAAGTCCACCATGATCTCCTTGGTCTTCTCCACCTTCATCATCTCTGGGATCATCTCTGGGATCATCGCTGGGATCATCGCTGGGATCATCGCTGGGATCATCTCTGGGATCATCCCTGGGATCATCTCTGGGATCATCTCTGGGATCAACCCTGGGGTCATCTCTGGGATCATCTCTGGGATCATCTCTGGGATCATCGCTGGGATCATCGCTGGGATCATCTCTGGGATCATCTCTGGGATCATCTCTGGGATCATCCATGGGATCATCTCTGGGATCATCTCTGGGATCATCTCTGTGATCATCTCTGGGATCATCCCTGGGATCATCGCTGGGATCATCGCTGGGATCATCTCTGGGATCATCTCTGGGATCATCTCTGGGATCATCCATGGGATCATCCCTGGGATCATCTCTGGGATCATCTCTGTGATCATCTCTGGGATCATCCCTGGGATCATCGCTGGGATCATCGCTGGGATCATCTCTGGGATCATCTCTGGGATCATCTCTGGGATCATCCCTGGGATCATCTCTGGGATCATCTCTGTGATCATCTCTGGGATCATCTCTGTGATCATCCCTGGGATCATCTCTGGGATCATCTCTGTGATCATCTCTGGGATCATCCCTGGGATCATCGCTGGGATCATCTCTGTGATCATCGCTGGGATCATCCCTGGGATCATCTCTGGGATCATCTCTGGGATCATCTCTGTCATCATCCCTGGGATCATCTCTGGGATCATCGCTGGGATCATCTCTGGGATCATCTCTGGGATCATCTCTGTGATCATCCCTGGGATCATCACTGGGATCATCTCTGGGATCATCTCTGGGATCATCTCTGTGATCATCCCTGTGATCATCCCTGGGATCAACCCTGGGATCATCTCTGGGATCATCTCTTGGGATCATCTCTGGGATCAACCCTGGCGTCATCTCTGGGATCATCTCTGGGATCATCTCTGGGATCATTTCTGGGATCATCCCTGGGATCATTTCTGGGATCATTTCTGGGATCATCTCTGGGATCATCTCTGGGATCATTTCTGGGATCATCTCTGTGATCATCTCTGGGATCATCTCTGGGATCATCTCTGGGATTATCCCTGGGATCATCCCTGGGATCATCTCTGGGATCATCTCTGGGATCATCGCTGGGATCATCTCTGGGATCATCTCTGGGATCATCTCTGGGATCATCTCTGTGATCATCCTTGTGATCATCCCTGGGATCATCCCTGGGATCATCGCTGGGATCATCTCTGGGATCATCTCTGGGATCATCGCTGGGATCATCTCTGGGATCATCGCTGGGATCATCTCTGGGATCATCTCTTGGGATCATCTCTGGGATCATCTCTGGGATCATCTCTGTGATCATCCCTGGGATCATCCCTGGGATCATCTCTGGGATCATCTCTGGGATCATCCCTGGGATCATTTCTGGGATCATCTCTGGGATCATTTCTGGGATCATCTCTGGGATCATCTCTGGGATCATCTCTGGGATCATCCCTGGGATCATCCCTGGGATCATTTCTGGGATCATTTCTGGGATCATTTCTGGGATCATCTCTGGGATCATCTCTGGGATCATTTCTGGGATCATCTCTGGGATCATTTCTGGGATCATTTCTGGGATCATTTCTGGGATCATCCCTGGGATCATCTCTGGGATCATCCCTGGGATAATTTCTGGGATCATCTCTGGGATCATCTCTGGGATCATCCCTGGGATCATATCTGGGATCATCTCTGGGATCATCCCTGGGATCATCGCTGGGATCATCTCTGGGATCATCTCTGGGATCATCGCTGGGATCATCTCTGGGATCATCTCTTGGTATCATCTCTGGGATCATCTCTTGGGATCATCTCTGGGATCATCTCTGGGATCATCTCTGTGATCATCCCTGGGATCATCCCTGGGATCATCTCTGGGATCATCTCTGGGATCATCCCTGGGATCATTTCTGGGATCATTTCTGGGATCATCCCTGGGATCATCTCTGGGATCATCTCTGGGATCATCCATGGGATCATCTCTGGGATCATCTCTGGGATCATTTCTGGGATCATCTCTGGGATCATCTCTGGGATCATCTCTGGGATCATCCCTGGGATCATCCCTGGGATCATTTCTGGGATCATTTCTGGGATCATTTCTGGGATCATCTCTGGGATCATCTCTGGGATCATTTCTGGGATCATCTCTGGGATCATTTCTGGGATCATTTCTGGGATAATTTCTGGGATCATCCCTGGGATCATCTCTGGGATCATCCCTGGGATCATTTCTGGGATCATTTCTGGGATCATCTCTGGGATCATCTCTGGGATCATCCCTGGGATCATATCTGGGATCATCTCTGGGATCATCCATGGGATCATCTCTGGGATCATCTCTGTGATCATCTCTGTGATCATCTCTGTGATCATCTCTGGGATCATCTCTGGGATCATCTCTGTGATCATCTCTGGGATCATCCCTGGGATCATCTCTGGGATCATCTCTGGGATCATCCATGGGATCATCTCTGGGATCATCTCTGTGATCATCTCTGTGATCATCTCTGGGATCATCTCAGGGATCATCTTCCTTCTCTGCCCTGCAG